TAAAAGCCAACTCATCTTGAAAAATAAAAGGGCTGTGCAGAGACATTTAACAGAATCTCAGACTGAGATATGGAAGGGTCCACAGAGATCACCAAGAGCTGACTCTTTGTTGGATGGTCAAGGAAACAGGGTCTAGGAAGAGAAAGTAAGTGGCAAGAGCCAGGATTTGAACCCAGGTCCTCTGACCCCAAATTCAATGCCCTTTCCCCACTAAATCATGCTGTGCTCTCCATTACCTCCAAAGAGCCAGGCATAAATCTCTTTCCATTTTAACTTCAAGGACACCAAGGCTGAGTTGGGAAAATACAGGGGAGGTGGGGGAAGAGGAAGAAGGGAGAAGAAAGGGGGGGGAGGGAGGGGAGGAGAGAGAGAGAGAGAGAGAGAGAGAGAGAGAGAGAGAGAGAGAGAGAGAGAGAGAAGAGAGGAAACCGGGTGGGGGGAGAAGAGAGAGAGACAGAGACAGACAGAAAGACAGAGAGAGAAGGAGGGAGTGAGAGGAAGGGGAGGAGAGGAGGAGGGGAGGAAGGCAAAGAGAGAGGGAAAAGAAGGGAAAGAGAAGAGGAAGAAGGGAGAAGGATGGGAAAAGGGAAGGGGAAGGGAAGAGGAAGAAAGAAGATGGGGAAAGGGAAAACAAAGAGAGAGGAGGGTAACAAAGGAGTAAGGGAGAAAGGAGGAGGAAGAGAAGAGAGGAGGAGGAGGAAGAAGAGAGGCTTCAAGAGGCTAACAGGAGGAGATAGAGAGGAAAGGGAGGGAGCAAAAAGGGAAGGGGAAAGGGGAGGAGAAATAAAGGGTGAAGAGGTGCGAAGGGAGTAAGGGCAGAGGGAAAGAGGGCATATTTAAGAGAACTAAAATCCAATCAAGTGACATAATAAGATATAGACCCTCCCTCTCCCGGAGCCTTGAACAGATTTTGGACATATTTGGAGGTTCTTTGAGGGAGGAAAAAATAAAAGTAGGAAATCTTTTTATTAGATTCCAGTGAAAGGGGCGAGGAGGCATTGCGCAATGAGCCTGCTGGTCCCCCAGCAGACTGAAGGGGCCAGTCTTTCCGCTGGGGCTCGGTTTTCAGTCTCAAGAAGGCTGGGGCGGGGCAGGGAGCCGGCTCGGCCATGTGCTTCTTCCTCACCCCAGGGCCTGCAAGCCGAGGAGGAGGAAGGACTTAGGGAAGGAGGCTGGGGAAGGCGAGGGAAGAGGAAGGAAGGATGGAGATGGAAGAGAGCAAGCTTTCTGTACACAAATCCCGAAGAGGGGAGGGAGCCGCGGCTCAGAGGCGCAGCCTGCGAAATTAAAATGCAAAAGGAGACTGGGCAGCTCTAGGACTCCGGCAGCTGGTGCTCAAGGTATCAACAGCTGGATCAGTGGGCGCTCCTGCTTCCGGGAACAGCAACCATTTTGCTCCACTTTTGGAGGCAGGGAGGGGGAGTCAGGGACCAACCCTGAAATCTGACCAGAGCCATTCCAAGCATTTAATCATTCCCTCCCCCCTCGCCTTTTCCTCTCTGTTCCCCCCTTCTTTCCCAACGCAAAAGGCAGCAGATGGGGTTTGCGGGACCACACCTCCGTTCGTCCCTTAACAGGCACTACGTTTCCATCTACCACCTCTGGAGACTTGAAGAAAATGACCATTAATATCAATAAATCACTAACGTTACTGATGACAACTCATGTTTATTTAGTCCTTTAACAACCCTGGGAGGCAGTTGCTATTATTGTTCCCATTTTACAGTTACGGAACCTCGGGAGGCACGGAGAGGGAGAGAATGACTTACACCTAGGCACCAGGCGGGCGAGTGACCCAGCTTTCTGGCCACTAGAACAGGACAGGACAGGCGCCTCTCCCGGCCTGCCAGGCTGGACAGGCCCAGAGAAGATTCCCAAACGTAACTATTTCAAGTTCCCCAGGAAGGAGAGAAGAAGAAGAAGAAGAGCAAGAGAGAGAGAGGGAAGAGAAGAGGGAGGAAGAGGAGGGAAAGGGAGGCAAGGAGGAAAAAAAAGAGAGAAAGGAGGAGGAAGAGAGGAAAGACAAGGGGAGGAAGAGAAAGGAGAGGAGAAGGGAGGAGGACCAAGACAAGTTTGAATAGAGCTTAATGTCCATGATCTCATTCAATCTTCCAGTTAGCCCTGCGAGGTCAGTGCTCAGATGGGGTGTGGGGGTATGTTGGGGATGGGGCTTGAGAGTAGGGAGAAAGCCTGGGAAATGAAGATTCTGGATTCAGGGGATGTGGGTTCATAATCCTACTTGCTGAACTACTGGTGTGACCTTGGGTAAATAATTTCTTTGGGCCTCAGTTTCCTTATCTGTAAAAAGAGAGGGTTAGACTAGATGGCCTCATTAATGGTAGAGTTTTCTGGAGGAAAGTGGCATGTGAGTCACTCTGAGCCCCAGAGGGAGGAAGAGACTGGCCCAAGGTCACACAGGGAGTTAAGTAGAGGAGTCAGGATTTGAACCTGGGTCTTCAGGTTTCAAATCCAGCATTCTTTCCGAAGCTGCCTAAGAAAACTACTCTCATATGGGTGAGTCACTTGCTGCTCTGCCCAACACCCTCCTCTGCCATGTACTAGGCCTGAATGACCGTGAACAAGTCTATGGATCAGAGTTTCCTCTATCAATAGAACAAGGGGGATGGACCAGTGATCTCTAAGTTTCCTTTGAGTAAGGTTTGGGGATGAATGGAGAGAGAGCATTCTGCCCCCTTTGACTTTCCCCCAGCCTTTGGACCAGAATCGATATGGAATGGGGGTCCCCAGCCCCTTGCTTTTCCCTTTACTTTTCCCTTTACTGCTTGACTGTTCATAAGGTTTGAGGGGGATGGAAATCCACAACTCCATTCCTGGTGAAATGGACCTCCCCATCCACTGTCCTGGAGACGCCCTACAGTAGCCACGAGCTGTCCTCTTAACAGCTTGGATGACGTGAAGCCCTCCACACCTTGCACTCCACCCCGCTGCGGCCACCTCAACACTTGAAGGCATTTCCAGCCTCCCCGAAGCTGTTATTTGTCCCCCAGTTAGAGCATGAGGTCCTCAAGAGCAAGGATTGTCTAGCCTTCACTATATGTGCCCCCACACTTAGCATGGTGCTTGACACATAGTAAGCATTTAATAAATGTTTTTCATTCATTCATTCAGAGTTCTGACCCAGATTCAAAAATCATCAAGCTCTGCCTTAAGGATAGCCAGTGGGATTCCAGGACTGTTTGGGATATCAGGGTAAATGGGACGAGGATGAGGAGGGAACATAAAATACAGAAGGGCCTTTCTGGCTCCCAACAGAAAGAACTGCCTAGGGAACACCTGAGGTTAAAATATGTGGTGAGGAGACTTATAGTCCTCCCTGGGGGCCGGCCTGGGGAGGATGCATCAGCCCTTGCTGCACTGCAGACCTTCCTGGTCGAGGGTTCACAAACAAAGCTGCAGATGAGGGAAATGGATGGAGGAGGACTGGGTCTTGATGCGAGGATGGCCCTGTAGCTGGCCAGAATAAGAATCTGGGATTCAGGAACAAGCCTCCTGACTCCTACACCAGGGTGTACTCCTAGCCCCTATATTTAGAGGCCAGCATGGTCAGTGTGGCTCATCCAGAATTCTTCCTACAACATCCCCAGTAAATGGGCATCTAGTCTCTACGCAAGACCTTAAGTGAAAGAGAAGCCACCCAGCCCACCAACATTCCTTCTATCAAGCTGAAATCTGCTCTTGGGCAACGGTAATTCTAGCTCTTCCCCCTGAGGTTAAGCAGAACAACCAATCAACATTTATTAACCACCTACTATGTGCCAGGCACTGTGCTAAGTGTTGGAGATACATAAAGAGGCAAAAGACAAGTCCCTGCCCTCAAGGAGCTTACAATCTAATGGAGACGACAACAAGCAAACAAATATATAAAGCAAGCTATATACAGGAAAAATGGGAAATAATGAATGAGGGGAGGTGCTTGAATTAAGAGGGGTTGGGGAAGATTTCTGGTAAAAGGGGGGTAGCTAGGTGGCACAGTGGATAGAGCTCTGGCCTTGGAGTCAAGAGGACCTGAGTTCAAATCTGGTCTCAGACATATGACACTTACTAGCTGTGTGACCCTGGGCAAGTCACTTAACCCCAACTGCCTCACCAAAAAGAAAAAAAAAATTCTGGTAAAAGAAGGGATTTTACTTGGGACTTAAAGGAAGACTATGTCTCACTCTTCCATCACCCTGAGTCTCCAGCTTATCACTGTCCTTCCTCCTTATACAGCACCCAGGCTGAATATACTATTAAAGACGTGGTCTGATCAAGGCAGAGGACAGCGCCCAATAGCGTCCTCACACTAAGGGGTTATATATAATAGCATTTATATTCTTTTCTAAATATTTTAAATCTACTAGCTCAGCCTGGTACAGTAGAAAGAGCACTGGCTTAGGAACTGGGTTCAGATCCTGCCTGTGACATTTATCCGTTGAGTGACTTTGGGTAAATCACTTAGCTGCTTCAGACCTCAGTTTCCTCATCTGTAAAATGGGGGGTTTGACTAAATAGATTCTATAGTCCCTTTTCAAGCTCGAGGTCTATGATTCATATGAGAAAAGTGAGACCCAGAGAGGGGAACTAAGTCCCCCAGGGTCACACAGCTAGTTAGGTCTAGAATCCAGTTCTCCAGGCTCCCAGTTTGTTCTGCTTTCAACTCAAAATAACCTGCCATGGGGCAGCCAGTGGTGCAGTGGATAGAGCACCGGCCCTGGATTCAGGAGGACCTGAGTTCAAATCCGGCCTCAGACATATTAATACTTACTAGCTGTGTGACCCTGGGCAAGTCACTTAACCCCCATTGCCCAACCAAAAAAAAACAAACAAACAAATCAACCTGCCTTTCCATTAGTTTAACTAATTATTTTGTATTGATGTAGACAAAGCAACAAGAGCTACACTGATGGCCAGAGCCTGCTTGGATCTGCCAACATCTATTTATGTGCCTGGTCCCCAGTTTTAAGCCTTTCTCATCCCCCACCAAGGGACCATATTTGTACCTCTTTCTTTCTCCGTTTTACTTTAGATGTCTTGTTCTCCTTGAGTTTCTTGGATTTCTTCTTCTTGGGAACACACACTGGTTCCTCAGGATAAAATTCTTCCAGGCCTTCAAGGCCCCCATCCTCTTCTTCTGGAGGCAACCAAAAGACAGGGGTGTTACTCAGGCCCTTCGAGGAGTAAGGAGAAAGCCCTAGGAAGGGTGTGGATCAGGAATTAGCCATCACTTCCAGAAACAAATTCACATTTCCCTCCTACCTTTCCATGCTTTCCCTCCAACACCTCCCCCACCCATAATCCTCCCCAGACCCAGACTCTTTCCCCTTCCCCCAATTCAACAAACACATCCTAAGCTCATTTAATGTGCCCTCACACACAGGTGGCAGAAATACAGAGACAAGAATGAAGACAAACCCCAGGACTCAAGGAGCCTACCAAGATCTCCAGTATACTCTTTAAAGAGATTTCCCTTTCTGGGCTCAGCAGAGCTAAACAAAAGAGGCAGATATGCCAGATGAAAGAAGTCCAGGCGAGTCACCTTGCCAATCTGCTCTCGCCCAAATTTATTTGCATGCCAACAGCCAAAGAGGATAAGTGAGGTGGGCTTTATCACCCCAGTCTCCATCTAGCTCCTCTGTGCAGTTTTTGGGGGGGAATGCAAGTTCCCTCACATTCAGATGTTAAACAGGAGTTAGAAGGGATTTTCCTAACCTTAAGTCAGATAGCTGTCTGGAACCACCAGAGGACAGAGAAATAGTTAAAAGAATAGAATTAATGTTAGCCTGGGATTATTCTTTTTTTCTGAGGAGGGGAGGGAGTTCCTAGCTAGGGATAGTATCTCATAGCCTCAGAGTTATACACTAAAAAAGTTTCAGCCTAGCCTAGTCAGAAAGGCTTTCTAGACACTAAACCTTGGTAGATGGGAGCAAAGAGCCCAGCAAATGGCCCTGAACAGCTGAGGCCCTTAACAAGCAAGCATCAAAGAAGACCAGTGAAGGTAACATAATACCTAATGCAAAATGGGAATGAAATTCTGAGGCGCCAACGAGAAAAACAGTACAGCAACATCACTAGAGAATATCAGCAACTCTACAGCATCAGAGCAGTTGGTTACCTTGACCCCACACACGTCTGCAGCGTGTTTTCCCCTACACGTATCTGCCCTCCATGTTGTATATCCTGAACACAAGGTCTCTGGCACAAGTCAGTCGACAAACATTTATTAAGCACCTACTAAGTGCGAGGCACTATGCTAAATGCTGGAGATACAAATGCAAAAAGAAAGAGAGTCCCTGCCCTCAAGAAGCTTACAATCTAATGAAGGAGGAAAACTTGCCAAAAGAAGGGGGAAAGGAGGGGGAAGGTGCAGCTGCAGAGGCTTGATGGGAAAATCAAAGAAGTCCCAAAGTAGCGCAGCCAGGTGAGAAATGAGGACAGGAATAAGGAAATGTGAATGTCTTTATTGCAAATTTTAAAATGTGAATGTTTAAATTGCAAATAAAGAAATGTGAATAAAGGCACACCTACTCATACTTGTTCCCTACATATGTGCCCTCTGGCATGTTCCCTTAGTCACACACGTTCTGCATGTGTGTATCTTTTCCCGATGGTGGCACGGTAACCTCTGGGAACAGAGAGTACTTCATGTGTGCAGTGGGAGGAAATCTTTTCTTGTCATCTTATTTGCTGCACATTGTTTGATTAAATCTCTTACTCTGAACTAATGCCCTCTCTTGTTGGATGGTGAAAGAAATACATAGGTGGGGGCTCTGAGCTACAGTCTTGAATGAGTACTGATCCACTGACCAAAAAAAAAGGTTGTTTTTATAAGGATCCACATGTGAAGGGTAGTCCCAGCTACTACAGGCCAACAAATACAAGGTAATTTGGAGATGGAGAGAGCACCAACCACTGGGTAGATCAGGAAAGATGTTGAGCCTGAGATGCCCATCTGCTCTGAGCCTTGAATGACGTTTAGGGCTCGGAGCAGAAGTGAGAAAGAAGAGCAGCCTGGGAGTGCAATGCACCTGTTTGAAGGTACAGAGATAAGAGAGAGTAGGAAACAGGAAGGAGGGCAGTTGGACTAGAATATCAAGTGTATGAGGAGGAGGAATGTGAAACAAACCCGGAAGGCGAGCCAGGGCCAAACTGTGAAGTTTTAACTGCTATAAAGACTATGAACTCTTCAGTTTATTCTGGGGGCATTGTGGAGTCATTGAAGATTCTTGAGCTAGTGAGTGGCAATATATTTTAGGAAAATTATGTAGGCATTTAACCTCTAGCCCCAGTTCCCTTTCTTTTCACACCAGCCCTGATATTCTTCTCCACTTCCTAACTGCCCATCAACATTCCCTTAAGATCATAGATTTAGGGCTGGAAGGGACCTTAGGGACCATCTGTCGAACCCTCTCCTTTTGCAGATGAGGAAACTGAGGCCCAAGGAGGTTGAATTGATTTGCCTAAGGTCACAGAGATGCGGGATTTGAACCCAGGCCCCCTGACTCTATGGTTAGTGTTCTTTCCACTATACCACTACCTTCCCTAGACCCTGACAGTAGCCTGTGATGACCTCATCCTCTACCCCCAACACCCCCCCCCCCCCCCCCCCCCCGCATCTACCGACTTAGCACAGTGGCCTTAAGGAAGCTCACACATCAATCAATCACTATTTCTTAAGGACAGGCAGTATGTACTCAGCTGTGTGCTGGGCTTTACAGGAGACACAGTCAAGGCCATGACAGAATTAATTCACAGGCTTGAAGAACCTTACTAATCACTTTCTTCACTGGAAAGCTCCCTGAGAAGTAGATAATTAATTAAATTACCCCCCCCCAGGTTTACATGCAATTTAATAGCAGCTAACATTTGAATAGTGTTTTAAGGTTTGCAAAGTGCTTTACAAATAACATCTCAGTTGTTCCTCATAGAAACCCCGGGAGATAGATAGGCGCTATTATTGTCCCCATTTTATGGATGTGGAAACTGAGGCTGATAATGGTTAAGTAACTTGCCCAGGGCCACACAGCTAGTCAGTGTCTGAAGCACGATTTGAACTCGGGTCTTCCTGTCTCCAAGTCCAGCTCTCTATCCACTATGCCATCTAATATGACTCTTTCTTTGATGAAAATTCTCCAGAGTGGCTTTAGCTGCCCAAAGTTGTAAGATAGTAGAGCTGCTATTCAGTGGGACTCTCCCTGGGAGGCTGCATAATTGCATGAGGCTGTGATAAAGAAGAGGAGGAGGAGGAGGAAGAGGAGAAAGATGATGATGATGATGATGATGACGATATGGATGATCCTTACAGGGACAATCTGCAATGTCAGGAAATCATACATTGGGATTCTTTCGAAGGTTAAAGAACAGTGCCACGTCTGCCCCAGGTAGAAAAGTTCCTCTGTCTAGAAGGGAGGTAAGGGAGGATAGCCTCAGTTTCCTTATCTATAAAGTGGGGATAATGATAGAACCTACCACACAGAGTTGTTGGGAGGATCAAATGAAATAGCACATGTTTAGCACTTTGCAAACCCTAGAATGCTACACAAATGCTAGTCGCTGTTCAGTCATTTCAGTCATGTCCAATTCTTTGTTGACTCCATTTGGGGTTTTCTTGGCAAAGATACTGCAGAGATTTGTCATTTCTTTCTCCAGCTCACTATACATATGAGGAAACTGGGGCAAACAGAGTTAAGTGACTTTCCCAGGGTCACCCAGCTACTAAGTGCCTGAGGCCAGATATAAGGTCAGGTCTTTCTGACTCCAAGCCCAGCATTCCATCCACTGTGCCACCTAGCTGTCCATGTAAATGCTAGTTATCATTATTATTATGGGTGGCCTCAGTTTCCTCATCTGTAAAATGGGGATAATGAAAGCACCTACCATACAGGGTTGTTGAGAGGATTAAATGAGACAACATATGTATAGTATTTTGCAAACCCTTGAGCGCTCTATAAATGCTAGTTATTATTATCCAGTCATGAAGGCCGGCCACAGAGCCTGATTCACTAGGAGACAAAGTTAATGATAGTCCCACGGACTCAGGATTGAGACTCTAGGGCAGTGCGGCTGAGGGTGCCGAATGAACAGCGCTCCCAGAACCATCCATCCAGTGCTCAATCTAACATATAGGAGAGGGGCTTATACCTCAGAATATGGAGTACGTGTGATGTATACCTGGTCCAGGAATGCAGCATGGCAAATGGCCTCTGTATTTGCCCAACTATATACCACCCTGATACTAAGAGATAACGTGGTACAGGGGAAAGAGCACCGGATTTGCAGTCAAAGCACCTGGATTCTGACCCTATCTCTCTCACTACCTGTGAGCCTCAATGTTCTCACTTGTAAAATGAAGGGGGTTGGACCAGATGGCCTCTGACATCCGTTGCAGCTCAAGGGCTATGGTCTAACTCACCCTATGGGTTATGTATTGGGTCAAAGGATCATGGAGGCAATGTGGTGCCATGGCTTTAGAGTCTGAATACATCGGGTTGGACTCTAGGTTTTACTACCTGTATGACCTTGGGTGAGTCCTTTGCTCTCTCTGCCTCAGTTTCTTCAACTGTAAAATGAGGGACTTGGATGAGATGATCTCAGAAATATCTCTAGCCCTAAAGTTATGATTCAATGATAATCCTATGATTTTCCTAGTGCACGGGTCTGACCCCACCTCAACTCAATAAACTATAGTCTCCCTATTACCTCTATCTATCAACTGATTACTACAGTATGTGCCAGTCACTGATCCTCAAGAATCAAAGATAAACTCCTCTGTTTGACTCATGCCTAAAGCTCTTCACGTCCTGACCCTGACCTGTCTTTCTAGTCTACTTTCTCATCGCAGTGATCCAATCACACTGGACCATTTATTATTCATCATACATTATACATATCTATCTCCCAACTCCATGACTTTCCACTGGCTTTCCCAGAATGCCCTCCCCTCCTGACTACTTTTAGAATCTTTGGTTTCCTTAAACACCACCCTTTGCAGAAGGCCTTTTCTGGTACCTCCAGCTCACAAGTATTAAGGCCTCCCCACCACATTACTTTATGTCTACTTTGTATGCATCTCACATAATAGGTCCAAAGGTCCTAAGTTCTTCATGTGGAGCTGACTAGCATATACAGAAAGTCCTTGCATCAGAGAGAATTACCACTAACAGGCCAAGTAATTCACCCTGGCCTGATTCTTCT